GGGGGGCGGTGGCGCGACCCCCCCCTCCAAGGAGCCCGGGGAGGACCCGGGAGAAGCCGCCACGACCCCCCCCGCCTCGAGCCGGGGTGGGCTCGGGAGGAGCCGGGCGGTGCGGCTCGGGATGCGCCCCTAGGGTGTGTCCTGTATCCCTGGGATGCTCCCTCGGGATGCGCCCTGTGCCTCCATTATGCACCCTAGGATGCAGCCTGGGATGTGCCCAGTGCCTGTGGGATGAACCCTATGTCCCCAGCGTGCACCCCGGGATCCACCCTGGGATGCACTTTGTGCCTCACTGTGTATGTGCCCCGGGATGTACCCTGTGCCCATGCTGTGTGCCCCAGGAAGTGCCATGCACCCCCAGGATGTGTGTCAGGATGTGCACATGCCCCAGGATGTGGTGTGGGATGCTCCCCAGGTTGTGTCTTGCCCCGCAACGTGTGCCCCAGGATGTGCCATGGGCTTTGCCGCGATCCCCAGGATCCACCTGGGCTGTGCTGTGTGTCCCAGGATGGTTCCCAAATGCTGTGCCCCTTCGGCTGCTCCCCTCTGCCATCCCAGCTGGCATCACCAGGGTCTTCCCCCACTGGAGGGGCGGTGCATGGGGTGCTACATCATAGGGGTGGGGGGGCTGTGGGCCCCTGGACCCCCCCCTGTCAGCTCCAGGGCTGGCTGGGGCTGAAGGCAGGGAGGGGACCATCCCCGTATCCCCGCTGCAGAAAGGGACACCCTAAGGCGTCAGCCAGCACCTGGAGCAGGGCCAGGACTCTGTCTGGCCCCCCGTGTCCTGCTGCCAGAGGAGTGTGGACAGCCCCAGAGCCTACCCCAATGGGCTGTAGGCAGTCGTGGCCACCTTGGGACCTTTCTCCAGGACCCACATCTGTCCCGCATCCAGAGGGACTGTAGAGGCTCAGCTCCTGCCATGGGGTCCAGATGCCACGTGGCAGCGTGACAGCTATCCCACAGCCAGCGCCAGCCTCAGTGTCACCCCTGTGGCTGCCGAAGGCCAGGGCTGCCTGGGTGTTAATCATTGCCGAAAGCAGCCAGACCAACACAGGTGCGAAAAGCTGTGCCATTCCTGGGGCTGTTTTCCTTTCATCAGCTGCACCTGCCAAGCACTGAAGCACTGAAAGCATATATCTGGCAGGGCAGGATGCAGTGGTGGCCCATGGGATAGTGACATGGGTGGGCTCTGGAACACCAAGTGAGGCCAGCAGGATGCTAGCAGGGGTGTGGGGTCACTCCTGTCATGCTTTGGGCTTTCTTGAGCAGGTTTCTTGGTGTCTGTGATCATAACGTCTGAGCGATGGAGGATCTGGGGGTGGACACTTTCCCAAGGAGCGGAGTTCCTGCCATGGCGCTGGCTCTCGCATTGCCCATGAACCCATCAGCAAGGAGGGTGTCCCAGAGAACCCCAGCTTCATGGCTCCCTGCAGCCAGGGTGAAGGAGAGGAGGGAGGACTGGAAATCCCCCTTGGGGGAAGCGTAGGAGTGCCGTTACTTCATGTTCACATCAGCCAAAGGAGCTGCCAAAGGGCAGGTTGGCATTACCAGTGTGGGACAGTCACCTGGGAACACGGTGAGATGTCTCCATTGTGGCACTGCCTGGCAGCACGGGCATTGCTGTTTTCCTGCCCTGGGCAGAGCGTTGTGGCACTGCCCCAATGCCACGAGTTGGAGTGTGATAGGAGCAGCCTCATCAGCTGATGGGGACGCCTGCTATAAAGTGCCCACTGGCCCTGTGGAAGAGGCATGAGCGAGCCCACCATGGCGAATGCACTGCCCCTCTGCCTGCTCCTGGCCCTACTGTTCCTGGCCCCAGCCCTGCCAGCACAGCACAAGCGAGGGCTCATCTTCAACTTGGTAAGAGGGACACTAACCCCCTCCCTGCCATGTCCAGGCGATGCCCCGATTGCTGCAATGGGGTGTGTGGCACATTGTGGGGTTGGAGGGGTCTGCGATGCTTTAGTCTCTGGCAGCAGCTATGTGGGGGAGCCCTGGGGTGACGGCTGCATGCACCGAGAACAAAACTTATTGCAGCTGGAAAACTGAGGCAGGTGGGGATGGTGTGGTGGTTTTTCTGGGGTTGTGAGGGATCTTGACACCTGGGAAAGCAGTTGTGTAAAGGGCCAGGGAAGCCTAAAAGTAGATGGGACTGAAGCTCTCAGCTCCCTGTGCCAGCCAGGACCCCCTCCCTGGGGGGGCTTGCAAGGAATGGGGAGGGGGGACGCTTTCCCTGCAGTGTCTCAGCCCTATTCCCACGAGCCCAGCAGAAAACAGCACTTCAGCAGGTGGTATTTTGGGCCAGACTGAAGAAATCCTGCAGGGTGGGAGGCTTGGGTGTGCTGGCAGCAGTGCTGAGCCGCAGCCAAAAGACAGAGCTGGTGTCCGACACCCACCCAAAGCCCCCAGGCCCAAGGCTGGGGGGGATTAAGGGGGGACGGAGAGGGACCTGGTGCTCATGCCCTGCCTCGCCACACAGGACACTGGGGAGCTGTGCCTGCAGAGCGCCCAGTGCAAGAGCGGCTGCTGCTACCGGGGCAGCGGCCTGAGCCTGGCGCGATGTGCACCAAAAGCAGCTGAGTTCCAGGAGTGCTCCCCAAAGGTACGTGCTCCCCTGCTCCCAGGGGTGGCCAGGGACAGGGGCATGTCCCCTGCACTGCACTGTGCCTTCGTTCCCCGTAGAGCATCTATGGAGTCTACTATAAGTGTCCCTGTGAGAGCGGCTTGACCTGTGACGCTGATAAGACCATCGTGGGCTCCATCACCAACAGTGACTTTGGTGTCTGCAAGGACCCCCGGGGCTCTGATGGGTCGTGGTGAAGGAAGAGAACCCCCAGTACACCCCCGTGCTGCTCCTGCCACCCTGCCTTTTCCCCTCCACAGGGATGCCTGGACCTGCCCGCGCTGCCACGGCTGCAGGGGGGACGTTCAAGTAAAGAGCATCTTATGCCGAGCTGCAAGCCAGCGTTTTCACTCAATGCGTCCCTTCAGCCCAGGACAGGGGCTGCAGGGCCAGAAGGTCCTGGAAAATGCTGCAGGGACGTGATGGCTTTACCTATACATGTGTGCACATCATATGCAATTTTATCATAATCTGGGCCAGGCCAGCAGCAAGCCATGGGGGGAGCTCTGCCTGGGGGGAGCGTTAGCAAAGGGGGTCCAGGGGAGGGGAAGATGCAGCAGCCCCAGGATCAGAGGGAGCTACTTGGGTTGTGCTGGACTCGGTTTATTTGCCTCTGCAGCTGCTCTGGTTGGAAACTTCCCCTGGGAAAGGTTTGTGGCTGGAGAAGAGGGACTTGAAGGTGGTGTGGAAGCTGCGGGTGCTTGGGGTACTTGGTGGTCGTGTCCACCTCTGCCATGCCGTGCTGAGGGCTCTGGATGACCCTGCACACTGGGAGCTGCACCTCCTCCTCTGGGTGAGCAGACGTGGCCAGGAGGTGGTAGGCCAGGTGGGAGTCCTCCCCAAAAAGAACCTCATACGGGCAGCAGTTGTATGTGCTGTGGGGGCCCCTCATGCAGCACCTCCACCAGCAGCTTCTCCGGCTGTGAGATGTGCAGGAGCTTTGGGAATTTGGGATGGATCTGGGGCGAGGTGATGCTGGGAGCAGCCCTGGCTGGCAGCGAGGCAGCAAATCCCCTTAACTCTGCCCCTGGTGGAGCTGTGCCCTGGGCAGGGTGGGTTGCGGGGGGGCGATGCCTGACTTGGAGCCAGTGGTTTGGGCATGGGGAGGGGGCACAGACATGCTGCAGGGGGGTGAGGAAGAGGAGGCACCCGCCTGGCAGAGCTGGGGGGACAGCAGGAGGTGAGGGGGTCACCATAGGCAGGGGTTCTTGGCTTCTCCGGTGCCGTCTTCACCCTGCATGTTTCTGTCCCTGGGGGCAGACCAAGCACCAGGCACCTACAACACTGCTCCTCATCACCCCGAGGGGCTGGGTGCCCCATAGCAGCTCTCCACTGGGTGAGGGGCTGGGGGCCGTACCGGGCAGCTGAGGATGTCCCGCAGGAAACTTTCTCTCCAGGACAAGGGTGACCAGCAGCTTCAGGATCTGTCCCCACCGTGGGGAGGGGCACATGGCGGGCAGCGTGGGGACAGGATAGGGGATGCTCCAGGGACCCACTGGCCTCTGCAAGCCTGGCTTGGTGGAACTGCAAGAGGGGAAAATGCTGACCTGGATTTTAGTTTTAAACTCGTGGTGGGTGGTGAAAGCTTTGAGGGTTGTGGTCTCGTTGTCCTCGTGGTCCCAGCAGGAGGCCACCAGGTCGATGACCTCATGAGTGCGGGATGAGGCCTGGAGGAAGGCAGAGATGGGGATGGGGATGGGGAGAGCAGCCCCTCTCCTGCAGCAGACAGGCACCCCTGGGCAGGGCGAGGGGGCATGGGGTAGGGGACAGGGGACATGGGACATAAGGTCTCTCCCTGACCTTGTCATCTGCATGGGGTCCTCAGCCCTACATGCTGTTCCACACCAGTGGGGAGCACCCCGGAGAGGCTGGCATCACCCAGGACACATACTGGGGATACTGGGAGCCCTGCCTGCCCAGGGCCAGCCTCTCCTGGGGCTTTGCATCCTTGGCATGGGCAGGATGTGGCCAATGCCCAGGCTCTGGCCATGTCGGCACCAGCAGAGGGCAGCCGTAGCGTGCCCACAGCCTGGAACCCCCTCAGCCCTGGGGACCCCCCAGCCTAGCAGGGACCCCCCAACCCCAGGGGCAGCTGAGCCCTGGGGGCCCTGAAATGCACCAAGCCTCACAGCCCTGACACACCTTGAGCCCCGCTTTGGGGATCACACCCTCCCTGGAGGGGGGGATATTGGGAGAGGGTAGCCTGGGCCAACTCCTGGTGTATATGATGGGGATTTTGGGGTGTCCCCATTTTTGGGGTGTCCCTATGTTGGCAGGAGGAGGATGGGGGCACCGGAGAGGTGGGAAGGGGGTGGCTGTGCTGGGGGGGGGACGACACATGAATGGCACGCCCCGGCCCCCCCAATCTCCCCCCTAAATTTACTGGTGAAGCAGCAGCTTTATTTTGGCAGCTCTCGGCTGGTAAATATTGGCTTAAACAGAAAACCAGACGCCTGACTCACGGCGTCTTAACAAACACAGGAAGGGGCCCCTGGTGCGTGTGGGGTGCTGCCAGCCCTGGGGACGGGGACGGGGACAGGCCTACACCAGGGTGGGGGCACCCTGAGCTGGGAGGGAGGGGTATGAACAGGGCATCCTTGTGCGGGCAGATTTAGCTGCAGTGAGGTTCCTTCCCCCGGGAGGGGACACGGGGAGAGGCACCCTCCCTCCGCCGGGGACCTCACTTCACCCTGGGCGATGGAGGGTGCAAGCACTGGGGTGCTCCTTCCTCCTACCCTGCTTTGCACAGCATCCCCCTGTTGATTAAAAAGCAACGAGGAGGCGAATGAGGCTGAAGGGGTGTTGCGGGGGGGCACCCCAAGTCCCCCCCCAGTCTCACCCCATCACCAGGGCTGCACCCCACTTTGCACCCCCATCCCTGCCTGCTCACCCACGGGGTGCCCGCAGTGTCCCCCTCCCCTACACTGGAGGGTGGTGGTGGAAGGTTTTCCCGCCCCC